GATCCAGAGATTTGGCTCTCACGAAAATGCCTCTCTATAGGAAAGCTTTCACTGCTGGCATATCGAAAACGGATACTCCTATTCACGTGCACGAAAATACCATTTCCTGATATTCTGTTACTTCCGTTATTGGAAACGCCTGTATCTCCTGACTCTTAGGTTGTTCTTTTCAGTTCAAAGGACTTCCTTCCCTCGAAGGTGTTACTCTAAATGTTTTCAGATTTTTTGTCTTTTAACTACTCAGCAAAAAAACTTTCAATTTTTATCACTCCTTTTCAATAAGTTAATGTTGGTAGTTCAGAGCACCCTCTTATAGATAGATAGATAGATAGATAGATTTCATTCGACTACGTTATGCAAATACGTAGCAGGTAAATACATCAATTCAGTACAATGATGTATAGGAATCTAAAAAGATATGTTAAAAAATTGTGATTGAAAAAAAAGGCATCAAAACACTAATATATAGATATAAAATACCTACATATAGATGTAAAATAGGGCCAAAACATAAAAAAAGGGTTCATTTTACATTAAGATCAGTTGCAGCAAGTGGGCTATAGTAATGTACTCAATATCATTATAGTAACATTTGGCTAAGTATTCATTTTTAATGTAGCGTTTGAATTTTTGACCTGTAAGATTTTTCACTGTTTGTGGTAAGATATATAATTTCGTGTTCGGAGAGTTAGGTGCAGATTTATGTAGTCTATATCTTAAGGATCCAATGATTTCTGAATTGCGAGTACTGTAATCATGGAAATGACCATTTGTATCGAATTTCATTTTTATTTTCATGGATTTCAAGAAGGCAACGGTGAATATATAAACTAGCATTATTCCTAAGTTTTTGAATATAGGACGACGATGTGTCTTTGTAATCTGCATTAGCGATTATCCTAACTGCTTTTTTTAAAACTCGAAAACTCTATCAGAAGATGAGGAGTTTTCTCACACAACAATGCGAATTTAAGAATGCGTAATATGCTCTCAAGAAAATCTCACAACTTACTATAGATCCCAACTGTCGAAGGACATATGCTTTGAGAGTTTGGAGCATAAGTCATCAATATGATTGTGCCAGTTCACGTTTTCAACTATTGTGATTCCTCATCACCTTTCTTGATTTTACTGTTGGATGAGAAAATCAAATTCTGAATTTCATATCTGTTAAGTTTCAAAAGATTTCCAGTGAACCACTTATCTGCCTGGTTTTCTACGTAATTCATGGATGTGATTAGGTTTTGACAGTTTTCGTCAGAGCATATAAGTGTACTATCATCTGCATAAACGAACCATTCGTTTGGTTACATACAATAAAAACAATCATTGATGTAAATGATGAAAAGGAGAGGCCCCAGAACAGAGCCTCGGGGTACTCCAGATTTCATCACCCCAGATCCAGATGCTTCGTTGCTGTCAAGGCAAACGTAATGCTTTCGATTATGAAGGCAAGACTGGAAAAGAGAAAGTGCAATTCCTCTGGATACCGTAATCACAAAGCTTTTTCAAGAGAATATCTTGAGACACGCAGTCAGCTGCCCTTAATATCACCTTTTTTAAAATAGGTATTATCTTAGTGAACTTCAGTTCATCAGGAAATATTCCTTCGAGTATACAGGCATTGTACAGAATATTCGAAGGCTCTACTATAAACTGGATGGATTCTTTGATTATCCTGCGATTCAAGTCGTAAGATTCAAATCAGTTGGCATTTTTGAGTTGAATTCAGAGGAAGTGATGGGTTCAAAATAGGAAGAGCCTTCAGGTTTCAACACATCATTTATTGAAGTGAACTTGGAATAATCGTCACCGCTGACTAAATTGTTCGATTATAATGTCCGCTATTGTGGCAAAAAATACATTATTTGTGTGAGAATTGATGTTTTCAATGATTTATAGAACCATGCATGTGTGAAATGATTTACGCATATGGTTCGACAATATACTAAAGTGATAAACTCACTTGACGTGGACACAAAGCTTTCTCTATTGAAAAGAAACACTGTATACACTTCAGCTGTAGCATTAAAATGAAATTAACCCCTTTTGTGTGGAGTATATATCATGGCATAACCAACAAACCAACAATGAGCAAAACGGCCATAGCATGAACGATCACGTCCGAGGTGCTTTTCAGTTGGATTTATGGATTTTGTGATCGAATCCAGTTGTCATAATAATGCTCTATCCTCCGCGATATAACTTTTTATTAGTTATACTCCGCCTCGACTAGCTGGATCTACTATTAACTACATTGAAAGAAATTTTTTGTTACATTGTTGATATTTTTCTCCATTATATTCGATTCTAGAATTGCATCGAAGATGTGTTGATATTAAAAAATGAAACTATCATCGTTGATTACCTCGAACCGTTACAGAGTATTTGTACACCCTGACTATTTTTGATTGTTCACTACATCTACAGGGTGCATGACGTTAACCTGTCAGCTAAGATGGTCTGGTTAGAAGTGATTCTTCGGTTCCATTCACTGTCGAGAACAGAAAAAATATATTAAATATTTTCAGATCACAACACAACACTACACACCACATCAGAAGTGAGAAGTCTAAGAAAATGTACGAATGCTGAGTCTGTCACATTCAATGCAGGTAGTAATAGGTGGAATCGCTTTTCATGAATAAAACGATAAACCATATTTTGCGATGACCTCAAACTCTGGCAGATTATCCTGGTTACTACTTTTGAAACCCGAAGCGAACTCATCAGGATTCAGCACTGGCATATATACATTCGAAATCAGCAAAACAGTTGTCCATTAATTAGTTCAATATCTAAGGAAACGTTTAACATACATCGAAACTAATAAAATGGGTTTATAACTGTTGGATTCTGTCCAAAAAAGGGCAATTCGTCTCGTGGGTGATGCCTCGCTCACAAACTCACTCACGTCTCTAGAACACCGTAGGAAAGTTGGCGATCTGGCTCTATTTTAAAGACATTTGCATGGGCGATGCTCTTTTGAAATATCAATAATTTTTCCTTCCTTGGCAGTCCCCGCGTGATTAACCCGTCGAGTTGTGGCTTCGCACCCCTTCGTGGTTACTTTGGAGACCTGCAGAACATCTTTTTCCAAAGACTCGTTCATCCAACGAACAGCGAGGCTCTGGAACATATTGCCAAGGGACGTGTTCCCCGAGGCCTATAACCTCCAGAAATTTAAGAAGAACACAAATTCCTACCTTTTTTCCCTTGGTTCTCACGATGTTCTCTGATCATTACAGGATATTCCTTTTCGAGGGAACCATAACAATAAAAAAAAACTACCTGAAAAGTAAACTAATGACTTGGAGTTTGGAAGCAAAGAAAAAGTGTTCATATTCAAGGTGAGGTTATTGCTTGTTATAGATGTTTTGTAAGACTTTCTGATTGACAATATTAAATAGTTCTACCTAGGTATGTACCAAAGTGGCTGGGAATTTTGATTCTAGGAACAATTTATTTGGTAGATTATGTTGCACTCTCTTCTATTTCATGTTGCATGGAATACAACTTCGCCAATAACAGGCCACTGACTGTTGGTAACGTCAGTTCTTATGTTGTTTCCTTATTGGTCAGGTAATCTTCCATTTTCACTCGAGAAGCAAGTTGACAATCTTGCTCCACCACCAATTATCATAATCAAGTTATTGAAAAGTGTTTACCTGTCGTTGAATAAAACTACATCCAAATTGAATATTTCATTTGATATTTGATCTAATAGGAGGAAGCCATATGATATTATGATTATTCATTTGTGCTTAGAACTGACAAAACAACGCCCACAATCCTTTTGCTATGTTGTCACGTTTACCGGACCAACTGTCATCTAGTGTGAAATAATATAATCATTATTTACAAAAATTCATAGTGAGCAATGGATTGTTTATAGCAAATTAGGAATAATACCAGTAACTCAATGGTAATTTGTGAATTATCAAATTGATTATATTTGTAATGTTCCCTATCGTATTTCAATACAAACTTGCTCCGTTTTTGAGATACAGGATGTTGAAGTTGGAAGTATTATTTGATTTTATTCATAACCCCCTGTATAAGCTTTCATAGGGCAAAAATTCAGTATGGTCTTCTGAACGGTGACAATAGCATTGCTTCCTGTTCAGTTGATATGGATAGAACATGGTATTCACTATTAAAATGGAATAATTTTATACAATTCATTACCGAATGAGTTAAAAAATATACATGATGCAAGAAGGTTTAAAATCAATCTTAAAAAATACTTGCTCAGGACAATTTGAAAGAAAAATATGTGGCATGATTTGATTACTTAGGAATGAAATATAACTTTAATCTTATAAGACACAATATTAATTCGTTTCCACTGAGTGGAATTCATTATAGTTAACCCTTCATTATTATTTTTTTATATGTATTTATGTATCCCTATCATAAACAGAAATGTTTCTTGGGGTAATAAAGACAATCAATCAATCAATCAAAATCTGAAAATCAAAATGGTGAATTCAATATTAATTAATGAAAACATCCTGTAACTCATTTGATTGCCAACGTTACCAATTGTCACTGGGAACTGAAAAGTATCAGGACAAATACGAATTTGCCATACAAAAAATCGATTTTTCATGTTGAAAACGGGAGCAGATTCGTTCCCAAAACGTCCAAAGATAAGTAAAAAATTAATATTTTTTTATATACCTTTAATTCTCTTCCACAAACTTTTTTCAATACAAATCACTGACAAGCTAGTGAATTTTTCTTTTAGGCTCTCTGATAGGAAAAATCTTTAAACTCTTAAACATTTTGGGGGCGAATCATCTGATTTTTCCTTACTACACGTATATTGAAACAATATTCATATTTTTATTTTATAGAAACGAGGAGAGAAATTCCCAAAAAATCTGGAATAATGAAAAAAAATAGTCCAATTGCCTATTCTCCATTGGAAATTCCGAATCCTTCAGTCCACTTACCTTCCCGTCGCTTTTCCTGTAGGCGTCGTGAATCCTCCAAACCAACTCCGGCCCTGCACTGGCCACCTGCTTGCCCATTTCGAAAAACTGGCCGATGGGGTTCGTTTCCAGCGGACATGGATGATGGGCCTGGCTGCTGCTCTTGAATTTCGAAAACATGGCAGTGGCAGGCATCGATTCAAGGTCGTTTTCAACGCGCAAGCGCTCACTGGACTAACATGGCGGAGAGTTGGGTTAGGTGAGGTTAGGTGCTAGTTTTCGGTCGTTTCACATCGTGCGAGGTGGATTCGGTGGTAGTGTTTCCTAAAGGAAAGCATGTAGGCTTCGATCTGGGAAAACTGAAACAATGAGAAACAATATTAGAACAAATCTAGAGAAAAAAGTGGTGAATGAAAGCATCGAATTAATATTTAAAAAATTTCGAAAAATCTGCGGAAATGAAATGAAAATTAAGATAAGCTGACTCCATACTATATTATAATCAATGAGAGTGATTGAAGATTTTAGCGATATACTATCTATATCGATTTATTTCAAGGTTTAGAGTTTCGGGTTTTGGTTCGATGAGGATCGTGTCAAAGAAGATCGAGAAGTTTTCAACTAGAGATGGATCTTAAATCTTGATCATGGATCTATCACGATTGGAGTGAATACTTTCTGAATCATCTACTTCCTCTTGTCTTGAATTATCTGACTATTCTCAAGGATATGTTGGGCACCACTTGATTCATCAGAGCGATTATATCTGAGGTTTTTTTAATGTTCTGGTTCCCACGAGATGGAATATCCTGAAATGTTCAGAGAACATCGTAAGAACTGAGGGAAGTAAGGTAGGAATTGATGTTTTTCTTAAATTTCTGGAGGTTATATGCCTCGGGGAACACCTTCCTTGGCGATGTGTTCCAGAGACTCGCTGTTCGTTGGATGAACAAGTCTTTGGAAAGAGATATTCTGCAGGTCTCCAAAGTGACCACGAAGGGGCGCGAAGCCTCAACTAGATGGGTTGATCTCGCGGGGACTGCCAAGGGAGGAACAATTGTTGATATTTCAGAAGAGCATCGTCCATGAAAATTTCTATAAAATAGAGCCAGATCGCCAACTTTTCTACGGTGTTCCAGAAAAGAGAGTGAGTTTGTGAGCAAGACATCACCCACGAGACGAATTGCCCTTTTTCGGACAGAATCCAACAGTTTCAGGGCATGTTTGGGTGCTGCACTCCAAATATGGAATCAGTATCCCAGGACAGGTCGGATCTGTGCCTTATAGCTCCTGGCCCGAAATAGAAAACCAAGTTTTTGGGATGCACTTTTGGCAATTGATCACATGTGATTTTCCCAAGAAAGGTTATTGCTGATAGTAATACCAAGCATCGACATGGATGTCTTCAATGGTATGGTTACTCCTGACAATCTTATGTTGGGCACAGTGAGATCAGCTTTTCTAGAGAAAAGGCATTCTTGTGTTTTGTTTGCATTGAAATCTAGCGAGTTATTGGATCCCCATTCAAGAATTGTTGCCAACTCCATATTTATGTTGTCAACATTTCTTCCTCGTTCGTTTCTGATTTGCCTGGCTGGTATTGGAGCCCTGGAAGAGAAGGCGGTATGGAGGGTACTATCATCTTTGAAGCTGTGTACTGGACATGAAGTTCCTTCCAACAAATCATTGATATGGAGTAGAAATTAATAGTGTTGGTGCTAGAATTGATCTTTGCGGAACACCAGCATTCATGATAAGAGAGTCAGATGAAACTCCGTCGACCACTACATGGAGAGACCATATTTTTCAATAGATTGCTGCCATATATGTGAGACGTAAGCAAGCAGGTCACCAGTTGATCTCTGATGACGGAAGCCATATTGCCTATCGTTGAAAATACCTGAATGTTCCAGGTATTTCATGAGCTCGATCAGAGTAGCTCTCTCCATGATCTTTGAAATAATAGATAGCAGTGCGATTGGTCTGTAGTTGCTAGGTAGGGTCTTCCTGCCTTTTTTAGGAACTGGTTGTACTCTTGGAAAAATGGAGGTTAATCGAACCTGTCCACAAGTAACTAATCCTTAGTTGGGAAAGTAGGATATATAAATGTTAAGCAAGCCAAAGTTGGTTTACTTCATTGTACCAGTATATCACCTGACGAAGCTACTGCGTTAGCAGAACATGTGTGGAAATCTTATTGTTTGTGAAGTTTTAACATGCATTTTCCTTGGATTTCCATCAAGTAACGGCCGAGCCAATTCAAAAATCATTGTCGGGGAGATTTACTATCGTATATATGCATGGAAAACATGTCTCACCAATTTGAACTGTTTACAGGAAAATAGATATTTCGCATTCTCTTTGAAGGAAATCGATATAATATGTTTCTAGAAAATATCTGCATTGTTTTAATGTTCCCTGAATAGATTCAATCATGAAATATCGAATGGTATAGAATCCGATCGAGGCACGAAACAAAATCTCATGAAATCCTTAGACAAATTCAACGTCGTAGGTCGCGAAGTGGGACCAGTAATACATCATTTGAAAGGTTTCCCACCTACGCCAGTCCATCATGCAATATTCATTAGAGGTACAACGTATACACATATTATGATCAGCCTGAATGGAAACTTGAGGTGTGGGTAGTTTCCTAGTACAGAGAGCTCAACAGGGGTAGAAATCATTAATATTCACGCTTGAACTTCGTAGAATAGCAGACATAATATATTTGTTCTAGGCCATTATTTATAAAGAGAGTTCATTACTCATACATTTATAATGTATATACCTATTGCCTCCTGCTGAAAGACTCATGTTTGCTCTCATTGTCTGTTTATTAAGCTTATGTCATATGCAATGCATATATGTTCAAGTTTTGTCCTTTTTCCCTTTCTCTATATGGGGCAACCTGTAACCTGTTGGAAAGTGTGAGAAATTAATAAATAAAATAAATAAATGAATATATAATATGCCAGGAATTTTTTTCTGAAATAGTGATGACCCCCCTGCTAGGGTAGGTAGAACACTGCAAAATTAGTTGGGTTTCCTCAGTGAAAAAATGTCGTAACGGCATCCGTTTTCATGATACAAGGTGAAAAAATGATTTTTTTACCCATTTTTCACGATTATGTCGAAACTACTGGCAACATTGTAATGAAATTTTGTATGGATGTTTCTTGAAATCTGACACATCGCATGAATTAGGTTAGATTTTTCGATCCAAATATGATATAAACTTGAACATCATTCAATTTCACACCAAAAAGGTACACTTGGTGAAACTCGATACTATGTTTCATTTTCGGAATATTTCGATTTGAAAATAATAGAGTAGTAATGATGTTGGTATAAAATGAATTTTATTGAGTTCAATCACCTATCTATTCAGATTCAAAAACAATGAAGTTATTCTTGTGCTGAAGTTATTGATGGAACAAAGAATTATAAGTAGAAATTTAAGAGATATTTGACTTGAAACATGAAATATTGAATCAGTTAGAGTAAGTGTTCAAAATGTCCTACGTTTCGAAGAAAAAACGATTCTGGATATGGTTAGAAAGTTGTGATGTCATTGCTATATGCAGGAAAACGTGTAGGAGTGGTCATTCCCAGTACAATAATGATCGTTTTTTTTTTAATTCCATGATCTCCAGGGGTTTTATTTTGTAGCTAATAAAATCAATTCGACCGTTATCCCAAACACAATGGAGAATTAATACTTGATCAATAATGCAGGGAATTCCGGAAATATGATATATTAATATTCTCCAACATGTATTCTTACTCCAATTCATTCTAAAAAATCCGCATTGCAGTATGAGATACAATAGGTGGAGCTTGAAATGATTCCCACAGGAATTATTCTTCTCAGCCATGTAATGAATAGATAATCCTCAACTCGTTTGAGATTACCATATCGTAATTGTAAATCACGCATCCTCAATACTCAATATACCGCTCTATATACAGAGTGGTCCAACGAAAACTTGACACCCCGATATAAGTGCTATGAAATGAAAATCCGGAAAATCGCTCGTATCCGTCGATTTCTGATTCAAGGGGGAATGACTCTGGTTCCTTCAGTCCCGTAACTTCAACCCCCTACCAGATGGAAGCACAACCCCCGGATTTTGAATAGGGATGAGGGGTATTGCTGTAACGGCCTTTATTTCTGGGGCCCTCACTTTGGCGTTTATCCCAGACCGAGACAACTCTAATACTTGTCGGAGGGGTCTCGGGCGCCAGATTGTTTATGAGGTGGTTTATTAGAAGGCCTGGGTAACAACAGTGGAGACAGGTACAGGAGTTATACCTACCTCGGTACCTATACTATGAACCAGGGGTCAATGTTATTGAATCGACCTGCAATCAATAAGGAGCCAAGGGAGTGTAGGCTTCAATTACAAACTCTGGGTTTAGCCTGGATTACTGGTTGCTATCATTATTCTAGATAATTACAGGAATCGAAGCAATTATCTATGTCGAAAACGGGTTCTCTGGTATTTTTAGGTTAGGCCTGGAAAATTATTTATTCAAATTATTTCATTAAGTCCACCTGGAAAATCGGAAACACAGTTCGAAACGAATTGAACAGGTTCAATTCGTATTTATCTTCCCTTTTCCTCAAATTTTCTAATTGTTGCAATATCGGAATTTTAGTAAGGTTATTTATCTTTTTCCATCCATGTCAAAATTTCATGAACCACAGGCCATAAAGCACAGGGACACAGGAACACAGGATAGGAATGCTCAAGGAAGAGAAGAAGAAGAAGAATTGACAACTGGCAGCTGGCTATGTCAGTGTCAACCTTCAGTCAATAATATTAATCATTAAATAAAGTATTGATCATTGGATGGAACTATTCGGAACTGAAAACGATGACAACAGAGAAAGAAATATGAAATATGCAATCACAAAAAACCCATTATTCGCAAGTATCGGTATAAAAAACAGCAGGAATGAAATGAATCTATGAACAGGATGAATAATAATGGTGAAAAATATACAAACTCACATGTGCAACACGAGATCACTATACATTAATACTCTACACTGGCTTTGAAAGAAATATGAGAGCGCTAAGAGATCAGCAAGAGAACCAGGAGAGACACAGGTGAAGAGTAGATTGTGTAGAGCAGTGTGTGGAGTATAGATGCTAGAGAGTGGAGAGTAGTGTGTAGAGAATAGAGAA